CATAGTCATTCATTAAGTAGATTTTCTAATTATTATTTTATATTTAAATTGTAGCGTTCACTGTTTATTTTATTTTTAATATAAAAATTAAATAATTTTTTTTTGGCTCACTAATTTTTGGAAAAAAAAAGAACATGCTTATTATTAAGATGATAATGTGCACAAATATAATAATAATATCGAAATAAAAAAAAAAGAAAATCAACGAGAACCGGACAAGCAATCAGAGAAAGCATAATAACAACATAGGCACATGCACACAAACACAAAGAATCGAGTCGAAATTTGATCAAAAGAAAAACAAAATGCACACTGATGACATATTAAAAGAAGAAAAAAAAACGTATTTTTTTCCATTATAAGTAAATAAAACAGAATTAAATCTGACACATGGAAATAATAATAATTGCCAAATAACTAATAAGGAATGTATTTCTTTTTTTCACATTTAATTATTTTTAGTAACAGTTTTTGTTAAAGATTTTTTTTCAGCTGTTAATACAATTAATTTTCCATCTTTAACACCAACAAGTAAATGACTAAAATCTTTTGTAAAATAAAGACAATTGATATGTGTACGAAGACGAATTGTTTGAATTGTTTTCATGCTTGACATAAAGAAAAAATTCAAATAGAATTTAATTACAGTACTGATCAAAAATAGGTTTTTTTTAATTTTTTTTTCTACAATACCAAGAATCTAACTTAAATCCAAATAGTAGTTTGAACAGTCAATGAAGTTCTATATTAAATGTTTTCTACATCGACATTACACAGATGGACTATCAGATAAAGGTTTCTGAAAAACCAAATACAGTAATTTTCAAGTCCTAGACGATTATACAAAAATTAGTCTTTAAGAGTACAAAATCTTGAATAAAATGAGAGGTTGCTGCATTCCATACGACTATCTCTTCAAGAGTTATAAGCATCACAATCAACAAACTAAAACAAATGCGTTGTTTAGTCATACTATGATAAATTTCACTTTATTTTTCATTTTTTGTGAAGTTTATAACTTTTTAAGGAAACATTGTAGGAAATGTGGCAATCCTTCATTTTATTCACTCTAGAAATCTAATTTCCACGTAATTTTCTACGACCTAAAAACGATCGTGCTTAGTTTTTAGACACCTTCTCATTGTTCATCTATGGAATGCATTTGATAGAAGACTTCATCAAATCCCATGACATTTTTAAGAATATGTTAAAGCTGTAGTGGAGAAGCTATGGTAAAATTTTTAGCCCTATATCATAATATTTTCGCGAGATATTCAACAAACAAAGATCAAAAATAATTCATTTGACAACTCGAAATTCTCTATGGGTCTTCATTCTATATTTTGTTTGAAAGAGTATGTCCGGATACAGGACATAATAGAGCCCCTTTTTTTTTAAATTCTTACTTTTTAAGAGGAGAAAAGTTCAATGTTTCAAAAAAATGCCGTTTTAATTACAAAAGTACTCTTTTATATAATAGTAACAAAGCTTAATTCGAAAAACAAGTTCTGTCATGTCCGGCATCTTGATATAGTCTTTCAAATATAAATAATAGTCATTGGGTACAATAAAGGTTCTTTGAGTATTCCAGAATGCACGATCAAAAAAAAAACAAACAGAGAAAAGACACAAAAGAGCCGCTGTTTGATCTTAAAAAATCATACTTTTCAAGCAGAAAATAATGGAAAATTTTTGGAAGAAACGAGGGATCAAATAAAAAATCACGTTATTTATGAAATATCAGATCTTCACCTATCTTTCCATGCGTTTATTTCAATTTTCATATTTTTGACGAAAATTGACTTTTTTTCTGAGGCAGCCAGACTCAAAAGTTTGGTATCATAGTAAAAAAAAATTAAAAATACTTTCGTCTTATTTTTTTTTTCATCAGCATTGTATATAAAACTAAGAAATAAATAAACTTACTCAAACATATCTTTAATAACAATTCTTGCAGCTGTTAAACTTGTTGATTCTTTATTTGTTGTTTTATTTGTTTGTTGTTGTAATAATGGTATATGATTGACAGCAAGTACAATATGTTGATCACTTAAAAGCATATCAACAATATGATATTCTAATTTTCTTGTTCGAACTAAATCACCATTTATTGTATATAAAAATAAATGTGTATCATCTTTTTCTGTTTGAATAAGTATATGTCTTTCATCTGATAATTGTAAATTCATAATTGGATCACCAATAGGTCGCAATGTTCGTAGATAAATTCCATGTTCAACTGTATGAATATTACAACTACCATCTAATGAACCTGATATAACAAGATCAAGTTCAGTTGATACACAAATACATGTTACTTCTGTTGGATGACCATAAAGTGTAATATTAGGTGATATTAATGAATTATATTCTTGATCAGAAAGATTATTTAAATGACGATTATCATGTAAAGATATATTCCATATAACACATGTTGTATCACGTGAACCAGTAACAAGAATACATCCAGTTGAATCAAGTGTCAAACATGTTATTATATCAGTATGATGAATTAATGAACCAACCATTTTAGATTTAAGTAAAGAATAAACACGTAATGACCAATCCCAATGACCACCACTAAAAACAAATTTTGCATCATGAGAAACAGCAAATAAATGAGAATTTATTTCTAATGATGGAGCAAATGGTGCAGCAATGATATGTCGATTACTAAAAATAAAAATAAAATATGAAAATTAATATTAATATTAACAGATATGTTCTTTGTTCCTTTTTTTTTGAATGAATATATCAAGATCTGTGATTTTTTGCATTCGAAAGAAAAATATAGATAAATTTAGTCATGCAATTGATAAAATAAATAAAGTTTTTACTATAAAATTTTCATATTAAGATATAATCAATAAATAGAGAATAATATTCTTTCTAATTATTAACTATTAGTTATTCTCAATTCACGAGCGAACTTTTCAAAGTGGTTTAATACATGTTAGGACACATAGAGAGTATCTCTAGATAGAATAATCTCATAAAGATTCGAGCAAATCGACTTTCTTTACAAAGTTACGATAGTTTTGCTGAACTTTGACTAATGTACAGAGTATTAACACGAACATTGAATAAAGAATTTTGACTAGAAATTTTGTCTGCAAGTATAGACATTTTATTCTAAAAGTATTCTGAAAGTTTCAGTCAAAATAATTGATACCATTTTCAAAGTATTCAATGCTCAAAAACCGATAAGGTATGAGAAATAGTCAGAAAAATCAACAATTTTCATATGGAATCAATAAAAACACTTGAAATCAGTTGTTTTTCTCTCGGTAATTCTCTCAGAATATCTCAAATCACGCTTTGTTTTCGTTTGAGTGATATAGAAAATGCTTCTATCTAATTATAGTAGTTAATATTAGACCGGAAAAGTTACCGTTACGTTACCCGATATCCGTTATCACGTAATGAAGAATTTGTGAGTTTATTGAGGAAAGACTATTTTTCCAAAAATAATGATACTTTATAAAGTTTAATCGACGCTTGTCCATACATGTCAAACTTGAAAGTTCAATTCAACTATTCAATTATTGGTGCCGCAAAAAACGAACATACTCGACAAGTGACTGATGTCTCATTTCCTTTTTTTTTATTCATATCGCAAAATTGTCATCATGAATATTCACCGGGACGAAGTGCTTTTCGTCGTCTAACTGACCTTTCATATCAGAGTCGCGGCATGAGAGCGCTTCGCACCCCGAAGAGCCGCAACGCATGTACGTATCTGTGTACACAGTAATCGTAACGAAGTGTGTCATGTTTGCATTAGTATTGAGAAGAAGCTACTGCTTTTTCATTAGCAGAAACAATTAGGAGTAATGCTTTAGCATTATTGGGATTACAGCTATTTCATGCCAAAGTGCTACATTTAGGTTAGCATTACTTTTCATTTCTAGAATTTACTCAGTCTTATTTTTCAGAGTGTACCCGACCATACTAGCTCTAACTTTTTAGGAGCTACTTGACCATGCAACCTGCTACCTGACAGATGCTACCTTGACATGATAACTGAAGTATATCAGGCGCTTTCCTGTAGCATCTCAGGTGATGCATGTAGCACTCCAGACGATACTTGTAGCATCTTAGGCGATGTCTGCAGGATTCCAGGTGATGCTTGCAGCACCTTAGCTGGTGCTTGTAGGATCCCCGGTGCTGCCTATAGGATCTCAGGCACTTCCTGTAGCATCCTAGGTGATGCCTGTAGTATAATAGAACAGTTCAATTGAGGAGTTCAATTGTTCAGTAATTGAATACCCTTATCTCTCAATTGACTATATTAGAATTTCGAAATCTAACTCGCTTGTTTGACTAATTCATAATCCATATAATTTCGTACTCTTATATATTTCTTTCAAAACATGGCATCGACAGATTTTTAAGATATTCATAATATTTTCATAACAATTCTATGAATAATTTTTACCGTTCAGTTTGTAATGTTGGATCTCGTTCAAATGTAAAAAAATGGCTTAAAGATTTATCATATGGTTGCCAACCTACATAATATTCATAAATAGAAAAATGAAATAATTTCTCTTTTTTATTTTTGTAATAGAATCAACTAACCATTATTTCCAACAACACCACTAACACTAACAGTAATAAGTGTATCAGGAATTCCTTGTTGCATAAATGATCGAACTTGATTTTTTGGTATAGAAATAAATGTTATTGGATCACATAATTTATCATTTGCTGGTGTTATTTCAACAAAAAAAGCTCGTATATGTGATAAATTTTGAAATATATTTAATGCACGTCCTTGTGATTCAATTTCAAATGCTGCTTGTTCACATGTTTGTCGTTGTGGATGAGGTTCAGTTAAAAGTTGAGATGGAATTTGTCCAAAATTTTGTATCATACCTTCAATTGCTTCACGTGTTACTGTATCTTCAATAGCATCAACATCAACAGCTTTTTCATATGAACAATACATAAATACATTAAGTGCATCAATAGCAGCTTGACCTGTTTGTTTATAACCAAATATAAGATCAATCCATTCATGTAAATGAGATGATACATAATCAGATTCAAGTGCTAAACGATGAATACGAATAAATTCTTCAGGTGAATTATAAGCCCATGGTGGTAATTGAACATCATTTAATACTTGATTAGTTATTTGAAGTTTACCTAAATCGAATTTATTTGAATTAATAAGAAATTCTGGTAAATAAAAAAATTCAGGAATTAATTCTTTAACTTCATTTGGTGAATCCATTATATTTAACCATGCAGATTGAAATGAATGAAATTGACGATCTGCTATATCAAATCTAAATAAATATTTATATTAAATAAAAAAAAAGAACAACAAAAAGAAAATGTTAATAACATACTTTCCACTTTGTAATTGAATATGTAATGTAGTAAAAGGTTCCATTCGAATAAGATAATGCATAACACTTGCAGCATTTGAATAATGTGTACCGTAATGAAATTTTTTCATTAAACCCGTTGGATCATCGAATGATTCATATCTATACAAAGGAATTATATATTGTTTTTTTTCTTTCTTTATTTTATATAATAACAGTCGATATCACAAAGATCAAAAAAGAGAATGTTCGTATTCATGTATTCCATAAGTACGAAAAATATTTCATAAAAAAATAGAGAGAGAGAGAGAAGTGAAAATAAAAAACTAGTCAATATTTGTAGTTTTGATCAGAAGGTCAATTATATTTTGGTGTATATTTCATTAATCAAGCATTGTTAGTTAGAGGCTATATTATATGTGATAATGCAATAAGCTGTCGGTTGAACGATTTGAGAAACATAGATGTAAGAAACTATTTTTTAATTAAATACTGTGGTCTCCTGAGAAACATTAGGAAAACTGATTTTTGAATTTCGACTTTAAGCTTTGAATAGAAACAAGTGTTGACGAGAGTAGTGTATTGTAAATGTTTTAGATCTTATCGTTATTCCTACCCTAAAATATAACGATGACAAAAGCGTATTATTTACGCCGTTTATGTACACAGGCGGATTTGATATTCGTATTTGAGGATAGAAGCAAATCAAAAGACTTCAAACTTTCACAATAAACTACTATCATTAAGGCCGGTATCTGTACAATGTTTTTGAAGTTAAAATTGAAAAATCAGTTGTTCGGATGTTTCTCAGAAGGACTACGATATTCAATTACAAAATACCGCAATAATGCAGTATCTTCGTAGCAATAATGTAAAGACTCGAACTCTTTTAGAATATTTAAAGCTCATGTTGGATCTATCTAAAGCATGTAGTCCCGATTTGAAAGCAATTAATCAGTTAGAGAATCTTTCTTGTAAGGTATGAGAGCGAAAAATTGAGCCAAATATTACTGTGAATAGATCGAAAAATGCAAAATACTTTTTAAAGATGATTTCTCTCTTTATCATAGCATATTAATGTGCAAAGTAGATTTTAGGGAAAACTAAACATCTAAAAAGCGTTTAGTGTGATGAGTAGATAGGCTCACATTCTAAGAAAATGAGTCAATTATTTCTTTCAGAAATAACTAGGAATGCAATAGTGATGACTGATCAGGGTAACCAGGTCGAAAAATTATAAATCGAAACGTTTGATGTAAAATCTGGAATACCTTTTCATCATTTCGGAAAGCAGTTATTTTAAACTTCATGTGAAAATGCATTTTCTTAAACCTAAAATTCAATTCATATTCGGAGAAACCATTTATTGAAATGTTTTTTTCACCAATAAAGAGTGTTCTGTTTAGTTTGGATAAGCTTTTAGATTCAAGCAAGCGTTTGCTATGAATATTTCAAAACTTCGTACTATATAATAGTCATAGTAGAACAATGATGGCGCATTAATTGCTGGTAAAAAAATTAATTAGAGGTTGTAATCAAACTCATAATAGCACGAATCAAGAAAAATATCTCAATTTGGAAAATGTGGCAACTCAGAGATCGGTAATTTTTTTTTTTGCTTAACTTAGACTTCTTTTACATAACGGTAATTAATGGTATTAACAAATCGGTCCTCACTGTGAGTTTTTAATGCGTTCATTTGTTTCACCGTTAGATCGGTGATGCTAGACTTGTGAGTGATCGTTACAATTGCATCTGTAAATATAACTGCCTGTGACAATATCCAAGGAACATAATAATAATTGTCAAAAGATAAAGATTCTCAATGAGATAATATTTTGGCTTTGTGAATCTCTATGAGTTTTCATAATTTTGAAATATATTATTTCCGTATAATGTTTTCTGTCTCTTCTAGTCATGCTTTATTTTTTATCGGATTTTTTTAATATTTTTTTTTTAAAATATATAATATATAAATATTAAGAATGAAAATGAAACATAAAACAACTTACTTTAATCTGACTTCTTCCATATGTTTTGGATTTTGTATACCAATTGGTTTAGAAAAATCTCTAAAAACATCTGGATCACTAATATCTAATACATCCGAAGAGTAATCTTTTAATATCCAAGGAAAAATAGGATATTGATTAAGATCATTATATGTTCGTCCAGCAATTGTATTTAACATCATTAAATAATCATAATTCGATATTTCTCTTGTAACCCATTTTTCAGTTAATTTTGATTCTTTTAACATATCTTGTGGTGTTATTGTTATTGATAAATTTGAATAAAGACTTTTCATTCCAGGTAATTTTAATGACATAATTTTTTGATAGACTTGTCGTCGTATTTTTTTATCAAAATTCATTAAAAAATTTGTATGATTAAGAAGAAAAAATTCTAATGCTGATGGACGTAAATTATAACGACGTAATTGTACATCTTGTAACCATGATAATGGATATTTAAAATCTTTTTCACAAGATTTTTGTGGTGTTGAATCAAAAAAATAAACATATCGATTTGTTATTTCAAGTTTACCATCTGTTACTGATGTTGAAGTTATTAATGAACATTGTGCACCAATAATCCTATAAAACGAGTAAAAAATATTAGGATAATCCTTACGGACACTAAATTGTAAAACACGATTGATCTGCATATATTATAAATCAATAAACTTTAATTTAAACCTTCCAACGTACTGATATGTTTGTGATGAAAGATCTTATTAATAATATGTTATAGTGAGTTTAGAAAAGAAACCAATGATAGATATCGTAATTATAATCTTTTTTCATAATAATTCCATGGAAGGCTTTAGTTTCACAGCTAATGAAGGAAATCGTCCAAGTGATTAATCGCTTTTGAGTTGAGACTAGATATTTCATGTAGGTCCTAATTAACTATGAATACAATGAAAAGACTTCGGGCTCTTAGTTTATTCCTTCTGAAATAATGCATTTTTACATTATTCTCTTAGTTAATACCGTGATTCCCTTCAGAAACACTAGGAAATCTGATTTTTCAAATTTCGCCTTGAAACTTTGCATAGAGATTAAGCTTATCTAGAATAGTTTATTGTGAAAGTTTCATATGTTTGTGTTGTTCCTATTCTAACAAGGAAATATATTCAGGTAATACCCTCCAATTTCATTCGTTTATATGTCAATCGATAGAGTGTATCGCGCTAGTAAAAGGTTATCAGCTGTTGGCACTTCCTTCAGAAGTTACGAAGGTTTTTCTAGTTCAACCAACGAAAAACAATGAAAATAGAGTAATTCAGAGCTTTGTTTAGGAAAGTCTGATAGAGCTTAAATCTTTCGTGCTGGTATTCCTAAAGGTCTGCTATATACTCTTAAAGTTTCAGCTTTCTAATTTGTTTCATTCCTGAGTCATAGGACTTTCTAATTGGGTACGAAGGATCTGCTCTTCAGCCAAACTCATTCATACACAAGATACGATTAAAAGGAATATCAAAACTTCTTGTGACTATGGTGAAAGATAAGAAACAAGATCAATAAGAAAATTCTTTTACACACACCAGTTTTATTAAAGAATTTTTCTTCCAAATAGAAAGTGCTATAACACGAGAAGGAAATCGACTAGATAGCCGAAATTTTTAAGGTGCATAGTAGACCGTAAAGGCTATCAACACAAAAAGTTTTAGTTCTCTACGACTTTCCTGGACAAAATTCTGAATTGTTTTCCACTGGAAAATCAGAAAAGCTTCTGTAGTTTTTGAAGGAAACGCCAACGACCGATATCCTTTTTAGCTTTTTACTAGTTCGATATTCTCTATCGATCGAATGGTATAATCTGAATACATTTTCTCGTAAGATACAACTATGATAAAAGCTTGTCTTTTACACTGCTCATATACATCGGTAGATTTTATGTTCTTATTTCAAATCACAAGATCGAAAACTTTCACAATAAACTATTCGAACTAAAATCTTTCTCTGTACAAAGTTTCAAATCAAAATCCGAAAACTAAATATTCCCAGTGTTTCTGAGATGGACCGAGATATTGACCTAAAAAAAGTCGCAAGAACGCAGTATCTCAATAGAAATAAACTAAAGATTCGGGCTCTTTTCAAGTTATTCATAGCTTATTAGAGTCTACATGATGCACATAGTTCGGACTTCAAAGCAATTAACCAATAAGGGACTTCCATCGTACGTGTTATGATGACCAATGGCGTCCGTTCAAATCATGTTTCATAAAATATAAACATGTGATATTAATTTTTCTTTTTTACAACTTACATTTTTTCTTTTTCTTCAAGTAATAATGATTGAGTTTCATTTGCAACAGCTAAAAATTCTTGTTCATCAATTGAATTTCCACGTAAAGATTCTTGTTGAATTAATAAAGATTTATTTTTTAAACTTTCTTCAAGTAATGATTGACGTGATTCATCTATTGAATCAATACCTAAATTATCTCTTAAACGACTTGCTTCATCATGTTTATTAAAATCATTATTTTCAATAAGTTTACATCTCATACGATGTATATTTTCACGATCAGATAATTTCCAATGACGTTCTTTATTAATTTTTTCATTCCACCATGGACCACGTTCACCATTAATATATTTTTCTCGATCTCTCCATTCATGTTCAACATGTATTTGATGTATACGACGTTGTTTAGCTAATGTTAAAATACGTTGTTGATCAGAACGACGACGTTGATGCCATTGTTCGACAATATGACTCTAAAAAATTTAATTGTTTATTTAAAAAAAAATTCGTTGATAACAATCTTTTTCTAATAAAAATCATCTATATAAAATCTAAGCTTGAATTTTTGATAAAATGATTTTGGATGAATTTTCATAAAATTCGTGAAAATTTTCTATACGACTTTTATGATACGATTATCAACGAAAATATAAATTAAAAGAATACATTAAATATATGGGTATCCTACTGAAATATCAAACTCGATATTCGGCTAATATTTTATCAATCAGATGAAAATCGTTTGATTATAGGAAATAATAAGCTCATCACGTTAACAAAAAATGATAGCAGCTAAAAAGTTTCATTCTTTGTGCTTCATAAAATACTATAAGTGCTTTTTCTTAATCGATAATTATTTAAATATCATCTTGATGTAAATATGAATGACGCTGTTCTTTCTTGTTATACCATGACCGAAAAGCTTGGTCACATCGGGCACTAGTTAAAAGACATTTTCATGTTGTATAGATGTTTCAGACAAATTCAGCCTGCCAATATTATTTGATGGGTGTCAAACTTGGAAAACAAAATGTGGAAATTCAAAAATTTTCTGACAAAATGGCAATTTCTTTAAGTTCGGTATCAAGCAGAAGTGGCCAATTTTATCCAAGAAAGTTACTAGTAAACCACGGTTAATCTCCAAAACAACGGTTTTCATCATATGACTGTTCACCATAATTAATGGAATCTTATGATTTTTAATTTCAGTTTAAGGGCACTCCTCCCCATTGTCAGATTTTTCGGGAATGACTTGACGAAAAATTCTGAAACTTTCAGGATAGATAGATCTGAACTAGTAGACCAAAAGTTATCATAAGCTCAGAATTGCTGGATGCTTACTTCTATAAGATATAGGGAATGTAAAGGCCAAAAATGGCCGAAAATTTTCCCTCTGAAAATAGTCATAAGTCATTTTTTATGGCTGAACTCCTATCTAATTGCATTAAATTTTTAAGAAATTAAATATTACTTGAAATTTTAATTTTTCTTCACCAATTTGTCTATTTCGTTTATGTATACCAACCATCATCATTTCATAACAATTATTCCACCATATTTTCATATTCATATGAAATGGTCTTATAGACATTGAACGATAATGTTCAGCAAGTGGTTCAATATGTCGTTGAATAAACATTTGCCATTCTTGACTATTTGATGCTGAACAATATTGACGAAAATCATCTAATGCTGTTGATGTTGCTTTACGTAATGGTACATTTGGTATTTGTACATTCATTTGTAGAATTTCATAAGATTTATCAATAATTGTTTTCATTATTGGTAATAAATATCCAAAATGTTCGCAATCTTCATTTTGTGATATAGATGAAATGACTGTATTTACATTAGATAATAAATATGCAGCTTCTTCACGTCCATTTAATGGACGACTATGTAATAATGAATGTATACGAACAGATGCTGGACCACAATATGATACATTTGAATGAGAAAGAAGATTTAATAGAATATTAAGACCAGTTAATGATGTTTCAGTCCAATGTTCATCATGTGAAATAAGTGTTGATGCTGTTTGATCACCAGTACCATTTTCTTCAAATATAAGCATTGTATCTAATATTGGAAGAATTCCTTGAGAAAAAGAAAATGAATTAAATTTAAATTATTTTCTTTTTTTTTTTCTTTGAAAATAATAATAAATTACCATTAATAAAATTTTCTGTAATTCGATCATTAGTTTCTGTTGTTTGTGAAAGAAAATCATCAACAATTTTAATTAATTCACGACAATTATTTTCATAAGTTGATGTTGTTTTACCTAAATAAATAGACAAATAAATAATTATTTTCTTTTTTTTTTAAAAGACAAAAAAAAAATTGTAAGAAACAAAACAACAGTTAAGAAGAAGAACATTTTGTTTTTCGTGAGTGACACAACAGTGCTTGATTGTACTTCTTATTTATCACTTACGTATGTCTCTCATACGCCGTCGATATAGACGGTCATAACCTTGATATGCTTGAAATTTTTTTTATATAATAAAGATTAAGTTAAAAAAAAAAGAAAAAAATTCAAAAACTAAATGAATATCATACCTCCACTTGCTCTCAGATCATTTAAACATGTTTCCATACTTAATTCAAGTATACGTCGTTCAATATAAACTATTGGTAAATAGAATTCATAATCACGATGAAGATAATGAAGTGCTGAAAAAACTTGACCACGAATCTAATAGATAAGAAGAAAAAAATATATATATATATTATTGGAAAGAAAATATTCAATAGAAACAAAACAAACTATCCAAGCTTCATCATCAGAACCAGTTATTCCTTTCCATAAAATCATAACTATTGTTAATATAAGTGTTTCACAAAGTTCTTCAAGCAGACCACCATCTTCAGGATTAGCTTGTGAAGGAACAAAAAATGATGTATCTTCTGTACTTGTCACACCTGAAAATAACGAAAAAAAAAAGACACAAAATTATGTAGAATACTCAATAAAAATTTTAAGCATTGTATTTTATAGAAAATAAAACATTTATTACAAATAACTTCTTTCTTACAAGTGAATCTCTCGAAATGATAGAGAGCTTTTGATAATAGATTTGTTTTATTAGATAGAATCTACTGAAAATAAACAAAATCTATAATGATTTCTTCCATTGTAGCTTTTCTTCTCGGATTATGACAATTTTACTGGATTTCTAACCTAGTGCAAGATAGAAATCGACAAATTCTCAGTTCAAAGTTCAGATCAAACAAGTGAAAGATCTGTACCAACGGTTCAGTTCCTGAAACTAAGCCGTCAGAAAAATTTTGTTCTGTTTTAACAACGGTATTTTTTCATCTACGAAAGTGTCTTTATCAAAAATAGGACAAAAATTATTGAGAGAGATCAGTTCAGATCAGAGAATGTTTTCAACAGTTTCTCAGATCCAAACCAGAACTGAACTTGTCGACCTCTAATGCAGAGTATATCATGAAAAAATCCAATGTCGTCATTCCGGTCTCAAATTTTGCCGATAAAAAAGTCTTATGATCTCTATCGTAGACTGAAAGTTTCAGCTAGAATAAATGTTTTTTAAAATATATGTATTGGTTGAAGATCTGATATCTCGAGAAGAAAATATTCATTCAAATGAAATGTTCAGTGTATGATAGGATTCATAAGATAGTCTCTATGAGGAAAATTTTAGGATTAAATCATGACATTGAGTTTTTTATGATATATTCTGCACTTGATTAAAAATTCAATAAAATTATTATAACTCAAGAAGAAAACAACAAAGGAACGAATCATTACAGGTTTTATTTATTCTTAGTAGACTCTACCGAATGAGACAAGTTTAGTCTTAAAAGCCTTGTATCATATCAAGAGATTTCTTCGTTACAAAGTGATCTTCTCGACTTAATGTGTGTCAGATTATTTTTCTTAAAAAAGGCATATTTAATTTATGAAGAATTTCAAATGTCGAACACAGTAAAATCAATGAAATGTTTCAAATATCTTCAGCAACGAAAAGCCAAAATCCGTGGAAAAGTTCGGATACATCTACTTTTGATAAGAAAGTTCCTAATAAATTTCCATGGAACATTCAAACATATTGATCTAGACCTGTAACAGATCACAGTTCTAAGAACTGGATGCAGTGATCAGTTCTTTTTATTAAGAACCGGGTCTGTTGATCAGTTCTTTCATTGAGGACTAGGTCCAGTGATCATTTTTTTTTCAAATGTACTTGTTCGATCAATAATAGTGATCTAGCGATTCTACTTAGTACTTGCTCCAGTTGTCAAAAAAGAAGGAGTTATCAGTTCCTGTTCTTTTAAAAAGAATTGGGTGATGGACATCACGTCAGTTCTTCGATTGGGAACCGTTGTATATTTATACTGATCTCAATAGGAAATTCTTTTACATGAATACTCTATAAATGAATCTATTCTTTCACCTTTCCAAAAACAAAAAAAAAGGGAAGAGAATTTTTATGAGCAGCAAAACGAGTGAGAATCGAAGTTAAATTAATTTTTGTTTTTCGGTTAAGCAGACCAAGAAGCGAACCTAAAATCTGTCTGACTTCGGGACCAAGTCGTGTAGGCTGCTCATTGTTTTCTTCATCGCTATAAAGATGTTTTATACTTGTCATAGTGGTTGTTCTTGGTAATGTACATATAACATCAGTGCTACTAGTCATTGAAGGAAAATCATCAAGTGAATTGTCTGCTTTAATTAATGAAAGAAGATCTTCATTGCTAGTTGAAGATGATTGTAATAGTGATCGTCTTATTCCAAGTTTATTTTGTTGAAATTCTGGTGTTATATCTTTATCGATTAAAATATTCATAGATGAAAGAGCTGACGTTGATGTTAATGATGGTCTTGGTGATGCAAGTATTTGAGTTAAATCAAGATGCATAGTTTCATCTGTAGTTGGTGATAAATCATTTTGTCGTAGAAGTCTTTCTTGTGTTAAATCTTCTGGATTTGATGATGTTTCAAATATTTGTGGTGATATTAATAAAGTAGGAAGATCACCATTATCAGTAATTGTACTATTAGAACTTTCTCTACCAGAATCAATACTTTGATCTGTTTTACATGTTACAGATACATCATTTGATACATTTGATGATGTTAAACATTGTGATGATTGCATTGATGTTGAACGACGAGATTTAATAAAAAAATGAACTAAAGTTTCTTGCCAACCATGACATTTAGCATATGAACGACATACTGATGGATGTGCAATAAAACATGTCATTAACTAAATATAAATAAATAAATAAAATATATTTAATAAACAAATAAAATAATGATTGCTTACTTTACGCATAGCAACATAACGAACATCAAGTGAAGCTGCACTACAAAGTGTTAATACAACATTAAGTTGATCAACATCAATTGGTGAATCTATATATATATATATGAAAAGAATAAACAAATATATTCATATTATA